ATAAATAAATAAATGGTTCTGTAACAGAAGTGGATTTTGTCCATTTTGGTGGGTTGTAAAAAGCAAGATTTGGTTAAAGTTGCATGCTTCTTCCACCAGGGGTCGCTGTCTTTGTATTTCTCCATAGACTTGAATAACCTCCTTTTAGCCCTTGTAGGATCTGTTTCACAAATTATCTGTAATATTTTTTTTTACAATAAATTAATAATTATGTTAATTTCATTCAACAATACAGCATATACCAGAAAAATATAGGTAATAATGATCCAAACCAGACCTGAAGTCAGTAACAGACCTTTTAGCTAGTTGAAACATTATGACTTCAATGATTAATAAAGCATATTTATTATTTATTACCAGTCATAAATATTAATAATAAATATTTACCAGTCAACACTTATGAAACTTGTCTCTACTTGTATTATTAGCTTCTCCACAGGTCAAGTTCCTCTAACAGAAACCTAAAAATACTTACACTTATGAGTTTAATTTTAATTTATTTGCCTCATTTTGATCATTACAATCAGGAAATAAAGTTCATTGTCCTTTAGTTCTGCCACTATTCACTTGTGTTAATTTTTATTGACATTTTTTGCTACTGACCTTATGTTGTATTTTTATTTTATTTTTATCTAAACAGTTAATGAAAAAGTGATTTTACAAAGAAACTGCAAACATGAGGGCAAATACAGCAAGTGTGTTTGTGAGGAAGCAAGTCTTTATTCTGCCTGGAACACAAAACATCTGCAAATCATAATGAACAAAAACATTTCTTTAATTGTTAACCCTATTAAAATGTAGCTTTGGAATAATTTTTACATATTTACACAGGATTATTGTTATTTTGTGACAGTAGAAGCCTGCACATGATTTGCCACTTTCTCCCAAAGGATGACAAAAGTCCATTATTTCATCCTCTYCTCTTCATCTTTCAGTAGCATCAGTCTTTTCCTCTGTATGTGATGTTTGTGAAGGTAGATGTGGCTCCTTTGTAAAGTGGATTGTGCCCCTGTTGAATAAAAAAAAACATGTCAATGTAAGTTTCACAAACACACAAAACGGCTATACAAACGAGGTAAATATTTATATTTCACAACAGTTTCTGGGACATTCCTTTTCGTGTTTGAACAAATGARGTGTTTTCACTGTTTTGAGTCTAGTGATTCATTGAGGTTTGAGACCTACAGGGTTTGGGTGTGTTTTTAAAGCTGTGGGTCCCATTACCAGCAGAGGCTGATTAGCGTTGGCTAATTTAAACCCAGCCCTTCCGCTGGCTATCTTTTGTTCTGCTGGGACTAACAGCATGCCACCAAATAACAAAAAAAGATCTTAAAAAGCTGGAGGAAAGACAGCTTGTGTGGCCCCTTATGTGGGCTGGCACGTGTGAAAACGTGTGTCTACCTTTGTGTGTGTTCAAAACGCAAAAGGAAAGTTTGACGCATATAAATGTGTAAAACTGTGACATTTTTTTCTTAAACGGAATCAGTTCCACACAAATTTATTGTAAATGTTGTGCTAAATTCACCCACCGTGTCCCACTTGGCGCGAGCACGCTCCTCCTCGAATTTAGCAAACTCCCGTCTGTCGTGAATGGTCACCAGCAGCTTCCAGATCAGGAGAGCAGCCAGGCCGAGGAACAGGACGGCTCCAGCCACTGACAGGAGCAACACCAAAATGTCTGGGCCCTTGGGGCAGTCTGGACAGTGGGTGGAAGAGATAAAAGCATGAGTGGAGTGAAAGGCGCAGGAAAAAATAAACCAAAGGAAGTAAAAGTTCATAACTCTGTTTCCTCTCTGCGCCTGTRTTCTTAAAACTCATTCTTCTCCTTAAAAGGATAGTTCAGTCCCTTCTGTGTGTTTTTTTTCTTTTTTTGTGGGCAGGGTATAAACAATCAACATCGTACCTGCACTTGATATCTGAAAAGCTTCAGTTTGGAGAAAAAAGAATGACTAATGGTTAATCAGAACAGGGCCAAGACCTCCATCAAATTTGCACCACCAGTCATTTAAATTTGCAAGGGCCTGAAAGACTAACCTGCATCCTGCAAGATCCTGGGTTCAATCCCTGCGAAGGATATTTTGTGACTGATTACCAGTGTCATGGACTAATTATTTATATCTGTTTCACCTCGACAGTGTCCATTACTCATATCTTATGATAACTTATTTCGGCTCGTAATCTGTTTGTTTCCAGACGTCAGGACTCCAGCACCGGACTGACCTCTCTTGTTCGATTAGTTAACTCTTTGAGCTGAGAGCTTGTCATTGGCTGGATAGCAATATTAGTCAGATTGTGATTGGTTGTAAACTGTCACATGGTGTTAACAAGAGGTTATATCATTAGTTTGCTGTCTGCTGACGGTGGCCACAATTCAACAGACTTCCTTGATTTGTTTTCTGTTTGTTGTCGCCCAGAATTAAATAATTCACGACCATACACGCAGATTTTCTGTGCATTTATTCCAACGTGTTTCTGCATTCTTGATAAAGGTGTCCACCACAGTTTATTGGCGTTGTCGGCAGGATGACTAACAGTTTTGCGTTGTCAGCAGTGGCCACTAGGAGATCGACGGACCAAGGCCACATTGCAGGTGGACTGATATGAGTGAGCAAGGACTGGAC